ATGTTGGGCATCCAATTTCTATACTGCCCACTTACATGAAGTGCTCTGAGGAGACGATCATGTTCTTTGATGTGAAGAATCTTTATCCCAGTTGGAACCTTGTGAGTCCACATCCATAAACAAAGGCAAATCAGGACAGGCATCCATAAAGTCAGCAACAATATACACCAGTTCACAGGCTCAAAAATCTCCTCTTCATCTGGTCGGGTCCTGTTCAACTCAATGTGGGCTGCCTCACTTAGCCTCACTAGGGTGCCCATTGGTCACCTCACCTTTAGACCATGGGCACTCTCACAAATTCTAAACAATCCTAGCCCCCTTGTGCTAGGTCATGAACTTCAGACCAGTCAACCTGCTCTCATCTTCTCCTCTAGTCCTGTAAATTTTAAACTAGGTCCACTAGTGTCAGTGGCCAGACTTAACCCATCTAGCTATTGCTGTTTTTCTCCCACTTCCACTCAACAAGTGGATCCAGGTGGTCACCAGCCTGCCCACAGGTTCCCTTTAACTTTCAGTCCTAGAAAGGAGTTTTCTTTATGGTTCCAGATTTTTTTTCAGCTTCTGACAAAAACCACTAGTTCAAAATTTTAAAAATCCAAAGAGTTCCTTTTTTACCTTCAGTCTGGGAACAGGCCCCTAGGCATGTCTCTTGAGATGCAAATGTATTAAGTACTCCAAAGCACTGGGTGGGGCTTATCTTTCAGAGCCTTCTTTGAAGGCATATCTTTTTTTTTTTTTTTTAAACTTTAAAAATATTTATTAGTATGAATCAGTGGGCATTAAACCAAAAGTAATAGATACAATTGGGCATCGTTGAGAACATACCTTTCTCATCAAATACAGAAAAAAAAGCATAGCTTTACGATCTACCTGTTTTCAGCAGTGCGTTCTGTATGTGTGAACTGGGACCAGCCCAGATAGAGCCCTTTGAGACACACAGGAAAATGAGCAGTTGATATCACATGATACTGAAGCTGTATCATTGAATTTTGTTTAAATAAGGATAGTTAAAATAGTAAACTAGATACCTCTGAATACAAATCAGAGCCCCTTCATTTATAAGTTAGCTAGTTAGCTCATTATTCAACTTGCAACAAGTAAACACTGCAGAGCACGGATAGATTCCACTAACAGCTCAGTGTCCGCCACCACATGGCAAGATTCTTGACCTTGGTGGAAAACCTCAGCCATCCACAGCTCCTTCAGAAAATTCTGGGTTTGCTGGGACACAGTCCCCAATTGTTGGCTAACGGTTAGTTTTAGGTCTTGGTCCTTGTATAGTTTGCAAGCTAATGTCACACCAGCATTCTAACGTACCATTTCTGACTATAAAATGACTACAGACCTACATAAAATGGTTGCCTGTCTATGCCAATCTTAGGGCTTTCATTGGAAAACCACTCACTCCTGGGAGAGTCCACACTTTCAGTTTACAACAGATAGATGTGCCAGACCCCGCCAGTGAAGTGAGTAGCATATAAAGTATCATCTTTACATGTACACATACCACACATGAAAAGAAACAGGCAGAAAGCAGCAAGTAAACACAGTGGGAAAGACAGCACACCACGTGTAATTGTTTGACATTTTAGAATAACCATGATTTCCGAGTGTTCATATACAGTCTAGTTCAATGATTAGATTAGTCAGAAAGTCTATAAAACTCCAAAGCCTAAATAAAGGCATGTGACAAAGCCTCATTGCTGGACAAAGCCAGAGGACTTGTCTTCAGGTAAAAACTCTTGTGGCTGCCAGGGCCCATGTGCTATTGCCTTTCCCCTGGGTGTCTGAAGGTATATAAAACATCTATATGAAGACATATATATATATGTCTTCAGACTGATTTGAATCGGTAAGGCAACATGGAACAGGAGGAGTGGCTTCACACCCTCAGGTGCTTCTGAAATTAAACCATGGGCTCATGAGGTTGGCACGTGCTTGAGAGTAACCATTTTATGGAAGACACTGGCCTCTGCGAAACTAAGCCAAAAGCTCTGAAGCTACTGGGAGTGACGGCCCACTTTTCTAGGGGCCCTGAACTACTGTTTAAAATTAAAACCAAGTTCTCAAAAAAACAAAAATAAAAACGACCCCTTGCCAAACAAACGAAAACACCAAGTTCTTGAGAAACAAAGCGAGTTTCTTAGAACTGGATAATTAAAGGTTCAAAAATGAGCCATGGTATCATCTGGAGAATTCCGTTTTTAATGTATGTATGTATGTTTGTATTTAATCTTGGAAGAGCCGCGGCTACTGCTTGTTCTGCAAGCAGGAGGATGCTAGCTAGTAAGGCGAAGGACACAGGGAAACACAGTCTGTGCGGAGACCCTATCAAGATGCCCACATTCTCCGTGCTGACACTGCTGAGCTACGTGTCTGAGAGATCCCAGAGGCACTCTTCAATCCCACACGCACGTTTCAGCCTTCACTGTCTGAACGTTCACAAGTTAAGGGTACACTGAAGACGAAACCGATAGCAGCGTAGGGAGTAGAAAAGCATAGCTCTGAACTTTCTGTAGCAGTGCGACTCGATGTCTCTCCCCACAGAAGGCACGGTGGGCGCAGTCACAATGTGTTCTGGAACAGGGGCTCACGTTGAGTTGCTGAAGTTTCTAAGTCTTTACATGACAGGTTTCAATAAACACTGGTTGGCCCCTGAGTGGTCACAGCACTTGGCATCATGCTTCACAATCAACTATTCATTTCTAGGTGTTTGTTCTACAACATTACTAGCCCCAACAAAAGCCATTGTTGGGAACTGAAGAATCACCTCTCAGTATAAACCCTGATAGAAAATTAACTGCTTCTTGATCCTAAATGTTTATGAAAGTTAGGTTGGTAATAAGATTTGATTTTGGAGTGGAAACAGTTTTTCTTCCTTTTCTTATGCTTCCTTCATTTACTGCCTGTGAATTCACACATCGTTAATTAACTGTTTGAATAAGAACCAAAAAAGTTTCAATCACACACTGTTTTTCATAACAGGATTGGACTATTAAGAGGATTTGCCCTAATAACTTCCTTCCCAAATGTAGAAACTTTTAAATGCTCTGATTTTGTATTATTTGGGGTCTAGATTCTTAAGATTCTGATACTGGCTGGCCATCTCAACCTAAAAGCAATTACTATGGAAAGTTTTCGCTATGATTTAGATTCAAGTATCTTCTAGTTTAGGGATAAGGAACACCCAGCTTGTGAAATCATCAATACCAGCTACCCTCACATGCCTCACCGAGGAGAAGCAGTCCTAGCCATCACACGAGGGATGCGTTAAATGATTTGCCCAAATACAGCAGCTTAATTTTTAAGCTGACAATTTTGTATGCCCATGAATGATGTTATCAATATGCAAATGGCCCTTCACAGAATAAAGGCTTCCCATCACTTTTCTAATTCGTTAACTTGTTTCCCCCGGTATGACACTGTAACAGTGTCTGCATTAAACTCTCTAGTTGAGTAGGGATTTATGATGGCGGTCCTCATTTATGTTAGGTGGTTTCTCAAATACCACTCATGTAACAGCTGTAACATAGAAACTACTTCAATGACTCTCAAATGTGACCTTCCAATGCCCACATGATATGCGAGCTTTTAGTCAGATTTAGTGTGCTTGTAGTTAACCAAACCAAGAAAAATGCTTCTCCTTTAAACATTTGAGATGTAGACAACACTTCAAATACTACCCACCCCCCCTGCCCAATTTTTTAATAGTCAGGTTTGAAACTTGAGCGATGGTCCAATTACACTTCTCTGATTTCTTTCTAAAAATTGCTAAGTTCCAAAGCCAGCTAAAAATTTACCTTATACAGTGAACTCTCGTTTATCGCGGTTAATCGGTTCTAGACCCTACCGTGATAAATGAAATTCGATGGCAGTGAGTTTGCATTTTGCTTCTATTGCTGTGTTTGTGCCTTTTCCGTTGAGTAGGTCTAATTCCATAAAGGCCACTCTGATCTTGTGTCCTCAAAAGTGAGTGGATTATGTGTGAGCTTGAAGTGCTTAGAAGGTATAGATAGCTTAGCACACGGACTCCCCAAACGCTAGTCAAATAGCGAGATGAAGAAATCTGCCTTGTTTGCTTCCAGACAAAGCTGGCTTATGGTGTCTTTTGAGACCTCGTACTCGCCCTCTCTTCATCGCCTATGTTTACAGGAGAAACCACCTCAATCCCATTTGCTTTGGTCAAAAACCTCAAGGCACAGAGAAACACCAGAAATTAGTGTGATCAAATACGATTATTATTAATCGACAGGGTTTGACTCAGCCTGAAAGTGTGCACAGGGAGCACTGAAGAGGGAACAATGAAAGCAGGTTAAATGCGTGGGATTTGGGGAGGACGGATTCTCAAGGATACTGTCACTCTCCCCAAGAGCCCAACGCTTACTAGACGATTGTTTGACATGAAGGGGTCTTTAGGAAAATAATTCCTTAAGAGTTCAAAGTTCAAAAGGACTCCTAAGGATAAACGGCCTGGGTAAGTTACCTCAACTTTATGACCCCCAAAATCTTTATTAAAATGATTTCTCATCTTTCATTTAGAAGTTTCCATCAGTTGATGTGCGATGAAATTATTTGCTAATTTGCAATGCTTTTTAAAAATCTGTTCCTTCAACTATGTATTTTCTCTTATTTTAGTCCTTTCGAACAAGAAGACCAGTAAATGATTGCCATTCCTCTTGACCTAAATATCTTGTATTAGTTCCTTTCCATTCATTTTCCCCTCAAATTAGTATTGCTCATTCATATTATAAAGGAAAGAATTCTGTCTACAGAACATTTCTAAAAAGGAGTTTAGCAGAATGTAGAATACTTTTTTAAAGATGAAACACTGTGTGGTTTGTAAAGTATCATACATTCAATTTTACATTAAGGACCCTTCAGTAAAGAAATAATAATCTTGATTTTAGTAGAACCATATTAAAGATGTGTGTATATGAGAAGACACAAATGTTACAAAGTATGTTCCTGGATAAGAATGGTGCTTCTATTTCTCCATTTAGCCAGATGATACATCTGTCAACGGCATTGCCCTGTCCGACGGGTCCCAGGATGAAGAGGGGAGCTTGGCAGAACCCCAGGGTGGCTCCATGGTAAGTTGTCACGGGGCAACTGAAAGTGGAAGGAGGGAGGAAGAAACTGTTTCTGAGATGGACAAGAATAACTTGAAAATAGTGTCATAACTACAATTGAAGGGAAACTGTTGTTGCCAATAGATCCTACACTTTTGCCACAAGTAGGAAGAAGACTTAACCTCGATTAGCAGGACTTTTACTTTATGCACAACTTGTCTCTCCCCGCCCCCCCTCACTGGAAATCCCCACTTGGTGTCTCCACCTATTAAACCCCGCCATTCAAGTCCTCTCTCCGTAGGTGGTACGATGGAGCTCAGACACGTAACAGGAGGTGGTATTTTCCTGACTTCCGGCGAATGGAAGGCAGCAGACAGCACCTCAGACACTGAAGGAGGTAGAACACACTCGTGCTCCGTGGTGGCAGTTGTTTTTCAACCTCAGTCCCGTCTGAGAAACAGGGAGCTGTGCATAGCACACTCTCAGGGTATCATTGGTCAGTGAGGTTGCCTTTACTGTTAGGTTTTCAGTCTTTGGGTAATGAGGTTGTTTAGTTTGATTGCATAGTGAGCATGCAAGAAACAGAAATCATATTTGAGCAACTGCCACTTTTATGAATAGTGCTTCGGTTGATGGTACAAATAGGCTGAAGATTGTGCTCAATTTCTGTCCTGCTGGCTATAAAGCCAGCTTTTATTTGCCCGTTGAAAGCAGTGCCCTGGGATACAAATGAATGAGACTATCTCAAGTTTAAAGATTATCTCAGAACCACCACACTGTTAACAAACACGAAGCACATCACTCATAAACCCTGGTAACACCCTGAAATAAGACACAAATGTGCCACAGATCTGACACTGCTGTGTTGTAAGGTCCTCACACTTACACCCTTTACTTTCTTATCTCAGCTGGTGGCAGCCACATGCCTTGAGTTCAGCATCAGTGCTGCCTACCCTCTCCCTCATTCATGCCCTACTACTCAAGCTTAAAGACTATCATGCTAGTGCTTATTTTAACATTTTATTTTTATTTTTATTACAAACATTAATTTAAAAGAGAAACGCCTCTTCTTAGGTCTATATTTCTGACTTTAGCTGTGGACACTCCCTTCAGCTGCGGATGGCCTCCATCTGAAAGGCAGTGCTGCACGAAGCCTGCAGTGGTCAGTAGGACGGCTCCTAACTTGGCTCACCGACCTTTTTTGTATGCCTATCTAAGTCATCTTGTACAAGTCAATTAACAACTACAAGCAACTGAAAAAGTTCTTGCTGTATCAGAACTTAAATTCTAATTTTCAGAAAGCTATACAAATAATAGTGTAACCCCAAATCCATGTGCAGGGTACCCACTTGGATTAAGTCTCCATTGAATTCCTTCTGACCATTAATCAGGATGGGAACAGTGTTGCCCTCAGGCACACCGGATTGAAAAGCGGATTACTTCCGCCTCCCTGACCAGTCCTGAGAGAGGCAGTCTCCTTTAGGGGCTTGCCTTGATGTGTCCTCAGTGGAGACTGCCGTACCGGGGTAGCATAGTCATGTGTGCCTGTAATGCCTTGCCTTGGTATACTGCCTTGGTCAAAAGGCCCTGAACCAATTTTGTAAGCTCTTCGGTCTAACACAGTATACATGTCCCAATCATTTTTCCATTCCCACTTCTGAAGGCCCACCTGTAACTGATCAGTCACCAATCATGAATTTGTGAGTTTCCTATAAAATACCACATAGTGGTCCATGTCCACATGATCACAATGAAATTTTCTGGAATTTCCATTTTTCTCAAAGCTATCCATAATTTGTTATAATCTACACGGTTACATGCCTTTGCATACTCAATGAAACACAAGTAAACATATTTCTAATATTCCTTACTTTCAGCCAAGATCCATCTGACATTTGTCAGATGGAACAAAGCAGTCCTTGGTTCCATGTCCTCTTTTGAATCTGGTCTGAACCTCTGGTAGCTCTCTGTCTATGTATTGCTGCAAACGTTGTTGGATGATCTTCAGCAAAATGTACTTGCACGTGACATCAATGTATTGTTCTCTACACTGAACATTCTGTTGGGTCACCTTTCTGTGGAATGGATACGAATACCCTATCTACCAGTCAGTTGGCCAAGAAGCTGTCTTCAAAACTTCTTGGCATAAGCCAGTAAGCGCTTCGGTGCTTCGTCAGCTTGTTGACAGTTTTCAAGCCCTGGTTGTGTTGTGGTTACCTGTTGGGCTGTGATCTGCATGGTCAGCAGTTGAAAACCACCTGGAGTTCCGCGGAAGAAAGACTGGGCTTTCTACTCCTGTAAACAGTTGCAGCCTCGAACATCCCTTGGTCACTATGCGTCAGTATTGACTCTGGCAGTACGTTTGGGGTTGCTTTGCTTTAATGCCTTCAGTATACCGTCGACGTCTTCTCTCATTACCATTGGTTTTTGATCACAGGATATCAAGATATATCCTAAAATAATTGAATGTCAACTAGGTCTTTTTGGTATGATGATTATGTATTCCTTCCATCTTCTTTTGATGTACTTCCTGCATGGTTCTGTATATTGCCCATAGGATCTTTCAGTATTGTATTTCAAAGCTTGAATTGTTTCTTGAGTTCTTTCAGTTTAAGATATTCTGAGTGTTTTCTTCCTTTTGGATTTTCTAATTCTAGGTTTTTGCACATTGTCTTTTCATAATTTACTTTATCTTCTGGGGCTGCCTTTTCAAATTTTCTATTCCGTTTCTTGACTTCGTCATTTCTTCCATTCGCCGTAGCTAATCTATGATTAAGAGCAAGTTCAGAGTCTCTTCTGGCCTTCACTTTGATCGTGTCCTTCTTTCCTGTCCTTCTATGGTCTTTTGACTTCTTCATTTATGATGTTTTTGATGTCATCTCACAGTTCATGAGGTCTCCTTGTCATTAGTGTTTAATGAGTCAAATTTGTTCCTGAGATTGCCTCAAAATTCAGGTGGACTATACCCAAGATTATATTTTGGTTCTCATGGACTTGTTTTAATATTTTTCAACTTGAACCTGAACTTACATGTACAATAATATTGAGACCAGCTCTTATCTTACATCACAATGGGTTCAAGAGGGGTGTGATCTGCAGTGAGAAAACTTATATGCAAAAGAGACAGACAAAATGTAGGGCATGGGTCTGGTAAAGCATAAATGCTCCAGAGCCCAAAGCTTTATTAGGGGAAGGCTTATAGGGTCTGTGTTAGGTACATAACCTGTTGTCATTTTTGAGATTTAAGAGTGAAGAGGTGGAGGTTAGCCTGTCAATCAGGTTGCAGTTTATGACCTCTTTTGGAGGCGCTATGGAGATAAATAGCTCACTCCCTGGGAGATATCACTGCTGATGAGACAGGTGAAGCTACGCTAATGCCCTGGAGCTGAAGGAGCCACATGGAGACCCCTGCCACTTAAACCACCAATGGATCCACAAGACTTTCAACCCACTGGCCTATGATCTTCCTGCATTTGGAGTCATTGCATGTGTTTCATGAATCTGAAGAGGAATTTATAGATTGGTATCAGCCATATGGGCTAGGTGACCATCTGGATCCACTTGTTGAGAGGAAGTGAGAGAAAAGCAGCAGTAGAGAGATGGGTTGAGTCTGGCCACTGACACCAGTGGACATGGTTTATAGGAACTAGAGGAGAAGATGAGAGCAGGTTGACTGGTCTGAAGTTCATAACCTAGCACAAGGGGGCTAGGGTTGTTGAGAATTTGTGATGGGGCAATGTTCTAGAGGCAAGGCAACCAATGGGAACCCTGGTGAGGCTAAGTGAGGCAGCCCACATTAAGTTGACCAGAACTTGACCAGATGAAGAGATTTTGCATATTGCTGCAGATGTTATGGGTGGCCTGTCCTGATTTCACCTTGCTTCTGGTTGTGGACTCAAAAGATTCCAACTGGAATGAAGATTTTTTAACGTCAAAGAATATGATTGTTTCCTCAGAGCACTAGGGTGATGTAAGTGGGCAGTATAGAAATTGGATACCCATTATTGGGCAGATAAAGGCATGAAGTGGCTGGCTTACAAACTTTCATGGATGGGGGGATATGTTCATAGGATTATGGTGTAGGTGTTAAATAATTATAATTGTTAGGCATAGAATATTTTTGTTTTGTTCACTCATAGAATGTTATGTTTAAATAAGGGTGGCATATACTGAATTATATGCATTTGAGTTTTATCCTGTTAGGTACAGATATGATTTTATTATTGTTTGAAAATTATTTATGTGTGAAATTGACAAAGGGTGGAGTGTGGTAGTTACCTAATCTGTTGTCAGCTTGAGACTTAAGAGTGAAGGGTGGAGTTTAGCCTGACAGTCGGGTTGCAGCTTGATGACCTCATTTTGAGGTGCTAAGGAGATAAATAGCTCACTGGAGGAGGGACACATGCTCACTCCCTGCGAGGCATGCTTGCTGACAAGACACATGGAGCTATACTAGAGCTCTCGAACTGAAGAAGCCACGTGGAGACCCCTGCTAGCCCTGAGATGCCTCTACCACCACTGGATCCACCAGACTTTCCACCCACTGGCCTGTGATCTCCCTGCATATGTTTCGTGAGTCTGAAGAGGAATTTATAGATTGGTTTCAGCCTTATGGGCTAATATCAGACTTATAGACTTTATCTGGACTGGGTTAGGATGTTTTCTCAATTTCAATTGCTCTTGTATACAAACATCTTTCCTATACACATATGTCTATGAATTTCTATGAATTTGTTTCTCTGGTCCACTCAGACTAACACACAATCTTTAAGTCATGTAGCCAACATGGTCATGCCAGGATTACACAAAAGGCAGTTTGCAATTCTTGAGGCTTGCAAAGAAACATTAGCTCATTAATCTAGGCTGTTCAAAGACAAAGGGGAGGATGAGGCTTTGGGAAAATGACAAACCTGATGAGGTTGCAGGTGGCTGCTTTCTGCATCCTCTGCCAGGCACAGAGGCCAAGTCAATGGAGATGCTGAGTCAATCTACTTGGAAGTGTAAACAATAGTGGCTTATAGGGTCAGATACTGTCACGACCAGGAAGATGTCCAAATTCACAGCATGGAAAAGGCCACTCCACTACGCAGTGAGGAAAACAAACATTGTTGTACAGTTGGAGCTGGAACTAAACATTACAGAATTGTCATTGGTTTGAAAGACCATCCAGAACTGTCAAAGACTGGAAATAGAAAATGGAGATTTTGCAGGGATAGGTGGATAGTATGTATCTAGGACTACATGATTAGTTAAGCCAGAAGCAAGCCGAATCACTGTCATCGACTTGATTCATAGCAACTCTCCGTAGGGCCTGAGGCTGTAAACCGGACAGGTGCAGACAGGCTCTTTTTGCCTTATAGAAGTGCTAGTGGTTTTGAATTTGGCAGTTAACAATCTAACGCTTACCTCACCAATTGCTTGTATTGTTGGCTAAGGGCAAGGAATCGTCAGTGTATGTGTTCTTTTTGTTTGTTTGTTTATTACACAGGGTGATCACAGGACAACGGTATTCAGGTTTCTCTGATAATCTGCTATAAAAATGGTTTTTCAGTTATGTCGTTTTGGCAGTCCATTGTAAATCTGCCTACACCATTGTTCACTGAGATTATTTGGGTATAAACTGCCACATCTTGTGTCTACTTGACCAAACCGGAAAGACCCGTTTGGAATAGATTGTGTGTGGATTCTTCAGTTTATTACCAGAAGGCCACAGGACAATGGCAGGCTAAGGGTTTTGAGTGACTGTTATAAAAACGCTTTCTCAATCCTGTCTCTCTCTCAGGGTTCATTGTATAGATTTATTGATCTTGCTATGCATGAAGACCCTTCAGACATAAATGGTCACATCTTGCATCTGCCGGATGATACTAGAATGACCCCCTGGAAATAGATTGTGATATGTTGTACCTGCCAGACCTCAGAGAAAAATAACTCCTTTAGGGTACATGCTTAGGTCAACATCCAGGTTAGGTAGCACATCATTTAGAAAAGGCAGTTTGTAAAATTCTACATGGATTCTAGATTCATGACCAGATTTTAAAATTGAAGACTCCATTTTTAGACTGCTCTTTTTACACATACAGAAAAAAAAAAGGACCAAAAAGACTCACCATGGAGTCCAACGCTGACTCCTAGTGACCTCCTGTGGGTTTCTTAGTCTAACTCTTTCCGGGAGCAGAAAGCCCAGTCTTTCTCCTGCAGAGCTGCTGGTGGTTTTGAACTGCTGACTCTGCAGATTGCACCCCACCGTATAACCACTGCACGACCAGGAGCCTCTGTTTTTCAGTTATCAGACAGCAGCACTCAGGGTAATTTTCATGATATGAAAGTAATCTAAGATGCTAATATAAATAATTTTCACAGAAAAATAAAGATGACAGTACTAATGAGTTATAATCTAGGCATTAAAATTATCCCTCGGCCCCATATTCTACTTTCCAATTAGCACTAGTTATAACATGGACAGCAGAGAATGTCTTGGGGGAAGATACTGCCTTTGATTTGCCACTAGTGGGAAATTCTGTGAATGGAAACATTAGGAGAAATGGCACAGTGGTTTTACAAACAAGTCAGTTGGTTATAATGGGAGTTGCCTTTGTTTAAAATAGATTGAAACAGCCAATAAAAGGATAAAATTATACTACTCTTAAAATTATAGTTGATGGGTGGGTGAATCCTAAAAAATTATATAAACTAGACATGTAGCTTTTCATTCCACCGCCTCTTCTGAAGTCAAGGTCGATACAGACTGATTCTTCTCTTTCAACTTAAACCTGGTCATTCCCATGCTTGAATAAGTGAGTGGTTTTAGTTTTTTTCAGTCCCTATAATTAGTCTCAACTCTACCCAGCTTTCAAAGCCTTCCATAATTTTGGATGGCATTCTCGATCAATCTCTCAGATTTTCTAATACCTTGCTGTGTTAGTCTGGGTAGACTAGAGAAACAAATCCATAGACATTCATATGTGTATAAGAAAAAGGTTTATATACAGGAGCAATTGAACATTGAGAAAACATTCCAGCCCAGTCCAGATCAAGTCCATAAGTCCAATATTAGTCCATATGTCCAATACCAATGTATGAAGTCCTCTTCAGACTCATGAAATAAATGCAATGATGCCGAATGCAGGAAGACCACAGGCCAGTGGGTTGGACATCTTGCAGATCCAGTGGTGGTGTAAGCATCTCAGTGCTGACCGGACTTTCTACGTGGCTTCTCCGACTCCAAAGGTCTGGCTCCATCAGCCTCTCCATGTGTCTGCTCTATAGGGATGTCTTGCAGGGAGTGAGTCTTGAGTCTTGTCAGTAGAGAGTGTCCAAGGGAGTGAGCAGAGAGAGCTAGTGTCTTCCTCCTCCAAGGAGTAAATACAGGAGTTCCCAGAAACCTCAGGAGAAGGCCATGCCCACACAGAGGCCTCGTTGGCTGTCTCCCGATTAGACTAGACTCCACCCCTACACTCTTAATCTTCTCAATTTGACAAACGGTTATATAACTACCACACTTGACTCAATTCAAGGCAAACTAGTCATTCCCTGGGGTAATTGAAGTGCGTCAGGTATTTTCATTTTGGTAATTCCTACTTTCCTTTCTGGCTCATATATTGGTCTTTTCGCTGTCCAACTCTTCACCCTTTATAGAGTTCCAGCTCTCGCTCAACTACTTCAATGAGAACTTTCCTGCCCATAGCACTCGCAGTTTGTCATTTAGCAGTGGGTTCTTGTTCATTCTGTTCTCAACGACTGTATCAGGAGCGCAAGAGAAGGGATTTTGACTTAAGTTTCTGCTTCCCCAAGAAAGTCCCAGCATAACTTACGTTACAGTACAGGTGAAGAAGGTGACATTTAGTAGGGTAAGCATTGGACACCATCAGCCTCTAGCCCTCACTGAGTGGTGCATCTCTCGATTTTAAGAACAGTCTTCTTTTCATTAGTTGAGCCTTTTTAGTCTCATAAAGCATTTCTTTGTTGGAAAACTTAGGGAAAGCACTGAACAGTCATCACCACTGTTGAAAACCTTCCCCCTGCGTGCAGACTCGCTGTGGTGGTCATTCTAGAATCACTGCCATTTGCGCGCGAGGGAATGCAGAGGACCCTTGACCCTGGGCTCTCTTCTCTGGTCTCCTCTCTCCAGGAACAGAAACTGGCTGTGCATATTAACATCTTGTTTATACAACTAGAAGTGTCAGTGCTATTAAGATAAAATGGGTGATTAAAAAAAAAAAAAGCAAAATACCAGAGGCTCAGTTTAGAGATCTCCTGCAATCTGTAGCACATGGTAGCAAATCGTCCATGAAACAGGTGTTGCACGTTGCTGTTGAATAACTATGAGAAGAACATAAATACCAGCCTCTGGGGGAAAAAAACTTCGAGTCTCAAACCCAAACCAGATTTGTGTGTGTGTGTGTGAACAGCACATAAAAGATTCTTGAAGAATAACGAATATTCACCCTCACACAGATTTAAGATAGTCCCACACATTGACAGCTCTGGTAAGATTTTCATATGAATTCACTAGTACCATCCATACCTGAGCTGTTCAGGGCTCTCCAAAGATGGCGATCCAACGTCAGCTAATACCTGCCAGAATTCTGTGCCGTGCTTCTGCAGCACCTCATTGGAGAAGAGAGCAACCCCAACACCACACTTGCCGCCACCGAGTCAATGCTGATTCATAGCGACCCCTGTGGGTTTCCTAGACTATAGCTGTTGACAGGAGCCCAACGGCCAGTCTCTCTCCTGCTGTAGAAGAGAGTATCCCATTAATTCCAAGGGGAAATTGAACTAGAAGATACTTAGTTTCTTGATGGTTATGATTGCTCTATATTTTGCAGTGAGATAATTAAATGCAATATGTACTATTATAATGTTAATAGTAGCTAACCCCCAACTAAGCATATACTATGTCTTAGATAACATTTTATATGATTTACGCAGAATAGTCCATTAATCTTCACAAAAGCTCTTTGAAATAATGTTGTATTTTCTTCTCCATTTTGTAGATGAAGGGATTAAGCAACAGAGAATTCTAGTAACGTTAGGCAATGGCAAAACCAGGATTAGAGCCCAAGCAGTCTGTTTCTAGCACCTACCTAGTTTAGAGTTTAAGCCACTTAGGGTTTAAGACCAAATACATGACTACTACATCCAGAATAATGTCAAATTGTTAGTTAGCATTAGTATAACTATCAACTTGTGTAACACCAAACTTGAATCTCATGAAGATACAGTAAGCAACTGTTTCAACAGCCAAGAAAAACCAAGACCAACAGACCAACTCGCTGCCATCGAGTCCCTCTGACTTTCAGGGACTCAGTAGGACAGAATGGGCCTTGCTGGTTTCCAAGACTGTAACTCAGTTTATGAGAGTGGAAACTCGTATCTTTCCACTGTGGGGGTGGTAGTCTTGACCCACTGACCACGAGGCTAGCACTGCAACTCACAACCACGACACCACCATCGCTCTCAGAGCCAAGAAGACACAGTTACGTATTTTAACCCTGACTTAGCGCCCCTTTCTTGTTGTTATTGTTGACTTAGCTCCCTAGCTCCCTCCATGCTCTAAGGTCTGTCTGACCCGAATACAAAGCAAAGGAATCCAGAATGGCCCTTCATGAAACTAAGAATTGTTTTGTTTTGTTTTTTAAGGATTCTTTGTATTGTAGAAAATATATCCGACTGAATTGCTGAGTATTTATGTTTATATACAGTATTATACTCTATTGATGGTAACATTTTAGCGTTTATATTTTTCGACTTTACAGGCTAGATTTGAGACTATTCCAGACCTATCGGTTCATGCCAATGGCTCAGCAGACCCTGGAGAGAAGCCAGCTCAAACTGCAATACAGGGTGAGTAAGGCCACCGCCGCCTGACTTGGGCTGTGTCTTCCTTTCTTCTGCTCTGGCGCTCCGCTCATTAGCGGTGAATGCCTCAAAGTAAAATGTATGTTTTTCTCCCCATTCTGAGTCTATCACTTTCAAGCCTACCTTCTCCCAGACACCCCATTATGTCACACACAGACACAAGTAATTGAGCAAAATAGGAAGCTGACTTTGCTCCCATCACTCCCACCACATCATTCAGAAACTACCCACTTGGGTAGTGTCTCCAATTTAAGGCCTCTTTCACAAGTAATCTGGATCCGCTGAAAAGTTAAAAGTAGGCCAGGAAGTAGGCCACTTCAAGACTCCCTAAGTACTGCCTCAACTTGCACATGCAGCCCCGGAATGGCGTATGGCCCACAAGCTTACAGAGGAAGTCTATTTGACTAGGCCCTGTCCATTTGAGAGGCGGCCCTAGATGGGCTCTCTAGAGAATTTTAGCATAGAATCTCAAAGCATCTTCATAGAAAACAGACCCCGTCTGGAAATCATTTGAAATTCCTAGACATCTTCTCTTAGTATGTGCACCCCTCTTGAAAATAACAGCTTCAAATACCAAACAATTTGAAAATATTTTTTATCGTCATTCTCATAATCACCGTGATGTTGGTCACACAACTCTGTAAATATACTACAAATCATTGGGCTGTACACTGTACAAGGATGAATTGTATATTAGGTGGCATCGCGGAATGAAAGTGGAGGGATCTGTCCAAAGTTATTCCACAGGAGTCCGTGTGCCAGTATGTCGTTCCTGCTGCCAGGAGCAAGACTTGTACCCAGAAAGGTTTGGCCCCCGGATCAGCAGTTTGTTTAATTACCACTCTCCAAAGTTTGTCCTCATATCTTTAAGAAGTGAGAGCATCATTTAAACTTTACCTTCTTCTGTTTACAAATAAAGTCTTTTTCTAGAGAGTGAAAACTGATTCTCCAGAAGACGAGAAAAGGGAATGCACTTTTATTTTCAATCAAAAAACTTTGAATCAAACACTGAACAATTTTGTCAGGTCGTGATACAAACTAATCAGCCAAATTCTGAACCACAAATCAGTGTTTAATTTATACAAATGAAGTTTGGATTAATTGTTTTCAGTAAAGGTATCTCCCCCCGCCTCCCCAAATTACTTTGAGGTAGTTTATATAAAAACCTTTATGTGGCCCAATCATCTTATTTTCTTTCTTTTTTAAAAGTTTTATTGGCATATAGCTCATATATCATCCATCATCTCTTTATTAAGGTACATTATACAAAGCCAAGAAACAAATACTTTGAAACCCATTGCTATTGAGTTCTGACTCACAATGATCCTGCAGGACAGTGTAAAACACTGTCCCATGAAGTTTCTAAGGCTGGACTATTCATAGAATAAGACTACTATACTATTCATAGAATAAGACTGCCACTTCTTTCTCTTCCAGAGCAGCTGGTCAAAAGTTGAAAATAGGCCAAGAACTGCCAATATTTTGATTGGCAGCCATGTGCTTAAGCACCGCACCTCCATGGCTGCCTAACCACAGTCAGGCAATCGATATTATTATTAGAGGATTCAGAATAATTCTGAACATGCTATCAAAGTAAGTATGAATGACTCCTAAGCAGCAAATGTTCCACACCTTGGCAGCAAGACAAAAGAAGTGAAAGTAGAGAGCAATTTTCCTTGAGTCTCACAGCCCATCTTCCTCTGCTGGAAGCTCCTGGTTCCCCCTTAGCAACAGCACTGAGCCTTGTTCCCCTACTTTAGTATTGTAAGAATAATCACAAATGCCCCACATCAATATTTTAAAAATCCTTGATGATTTTCATGAGACTTTAAAATCTAAAGTAAAAAGTCAGATACACAGAAGCCTGTTTGGCAAATGGTGATTGACAGAAGCCAGTTCACGTGGAAGTTGGATCACTTACATCATTGTAAATGGCATCCTGGGCGGGAGTCTGATGACTTTCCTGGGGTGCAAACATCGTCAGGTGCATAGAGATCCCCTTATAGATGCTTTATCTGGTTTTCTAAGAAATGACACTGATTAATTAAATGGCATATTAAATACTGTCCATCCTTTGTTATTTTAGGTGCTCATGATGTGGAAAAGGACATTCCACCAGAAGCTGAAGAACTGTCCTTTGAAGTTTCTTATTCAGAAATGATTACAGAGGCTCCACGGAGACATACATGCAAGAAAGCAGTGATGAAAAAAGAAGACTTTGCTTTAGCTGTGAGTAAAATCTTTCACAAGCGTTCTAGTGACTTCCTGTGATTTCTCCATCGGACAAAACTGTGGGCTCCCCCCCGCCCCCTGGTGTGTCTTCAAGAGGATTTTGGGGAGCAGGGCATCAGTGCTGCAAAAGAGCGGGCTCCCGGCAGCGCCATCTTCTGTGCAGCCCACAGACTACCTGGTCACCCATGGTAGCATTGCTAATACTTTCGAGCTCGTATGGTTTCATGCCCTTTATGTTGTTATACACTTATAGGTAATGCAGACCCTAACTATATGTATCTCATTGTGCCTATATTTAGGAAAAGGCATTGTACAAAGTCACAACGACAGTAGCAAGAATCAGAACACATAGAACAGACACTAAGGAGTCATCAAAAACACTGAAGGTCCAATAATACTATGACTGCATGGACAATGAGCCACATGGCATCCTGAAAGCCTCACTATATACGTCTAGGATCGTTTGGCATGAAAGCCCAATGTAGGATTTATGTTACTTGTTCTATATGCTCCTTAATAAACGCATCCTCAAAGCGTTCATAACCTGGAGCTTTGAACATGCTGCGTTGATCAAGGCAAGAAACACGATAAGCAGAGCCCCAGCAACGTCAGAGCTCAGAGACACGACACCAGGTTGCCCAGACTACATTCAGACAGCCATACCATGACAAGGAGCGCAAGAGGACAAGGCGAGACCCGTGAGACTCAGAGTGCCATTTGCCTGGCTGATTTTGCAGTGGGGGTTCCAGCTGTCAAGTGGCCCCCAAGAATTACGTCCATTTATAGCTACAGAGACTAGGCCAAGAGAGCCTATGGGACAGGCCCAAAGCCTGGCAGCTAATCGATAGAAGCAGGATTTAAACATAATTGTGTTAAGCTCTCAAACTCCTAAGCAGACTGCTTCTGTATTAGAGGGCAGAGCAGGGTCCTGAGACAAAAAGGGGAATCTAGCAGGAGTCTGGATTTGAGGGAGGCTCCCTGAATCTTTAGAGAGGAGTCGCCCAAAAGTATCACAGCTCTCTCCTCCTACGATTGGTCTCAGTGCCGGGAATAGGACAGTCTCTCACAGAAAACGTTATATGGGGGTTTACCACATGCTAATTGCTCGATAATTGACTGTGGATCTTATCAATATTGTTGTTAATTATTATTATGTGTGGCCTTGGTTTCAAAAAGAAGATAAAAAAACTCAGCATTTCACAGGACATTTAACAGCCAAACCACTCTTTCAGGGTTCTAAGGAATAATTGAATGAATGAGTAGATGGATGGGTGGGTGGAAAAAAATTCTAAGTTAGGGGAGCTCCCTTACTTCTAAACACGTATGATTTAATTTCTATGTTAGCATGTCTAAAATAGCATGTTTTCAGAAAGCAAGCATACCTGTAGATATTATATAGGAAAAACTCTTGCTTTTAGGTTTCGATGCTTAGACTAGCCACCCTATTCAGATTGTGGAAGGTGTCATTGTTGCTATTTTATGATATATTTTCACCAGGTGCAAATGAAGACCATAACAGGATCATTATTTGAAAACTACTGGTAGTGTTATTTGTAACTTCCAATGCACTTTGCTTTATGAGGAGTATTTGGAATCATCTCGGTTTGGTTTCTAAGGTGGATTTAGGGCTATCTCAACAAGCACATGTTACAGCGTCAATTGGCAGTCAGTTTGGTATACAGTTCACAGTCGAAGGTGTCTTCTATCTGATAAAACGGATGAAAGCCCTACCTCCTGCATCGCCTCCAAAAATAAAGAAGAAAAAGCCTTACTGGTAGAAGGGCCTGATTGGGTTGCTTTGTGTAACAAAGCTTTGCATTCAAGGTCGTCCAGATGGTCAGGGCCCATAACACCTTCTAGATGGTACCTAGCATTTTGTAGGTGCTGGTCAACAGTCCAGTGCAGATAGGCTTGTGAGGGGCAATGTTAGATCTGGGACCTTTTTTTTTCATAGTAGTAATCTGCACATTTTCTAAAAGAGTTATTCTAATAGTGTCTACAGTACAGCAAGCTCTTCAGAGAAATTTTGGAAATTGTGTTTTGCCATATAGTTTTTAAGGCGTCCAGGAGGTATTTGAGTAAAAGTATAATAATTTTTCATTGTGGTGAAAATAAATAACAATCCACAATATGTGTTTTAGAAATTCATTGTTAAGAAAACCAGGTTTGGCTTAACAGAAGCAGGAGATCTGTCTGCTGAAGACATGAAGAAAATCCGCCATCTCTCTCTGATTGAATTGACTGCCTTTTTTGATGCCTTGGGAATCCCACTGAAAAGAAACAAAACAGAGCGAGTGAAAGGGCGAGGTGAGTGGGAAGAATGGCTCCTCTGATCTGAACACACGAACTGGAGGAAGGCAGGGCTTTACCCAGCCTCCTTTTCCCTTCCTTTCTTAATGCAGACAGTGGCATTTTTGGAGTTCCACTTACCGTCCTACTGGATAACGATCGAAAAAAGGACGCCGGCGTGAAAGTTCCCCTCGTCTTACAAAAAGTGAGTAGAATCCAAACTGAGGGGGAAGTGACCGGCCGTGGGCGTTGGTACGTTATAAACCCACTCAGAAGTCCCTACGTGGTGCAAATGTTTAGTACACCCAGGTACTAATCGACAGTTTGCACATTTGAATCCACTCAGAAGCACATCAGAAGAAAGGGTCTGGTTATCTATTTCCCAAAAAATCAGCCCTTGACAACCCCGGGAAGATAGTTCCACTTGGATACGTGTGGGATCCCTGTTGAGTGGGAGTCAGTAGCAGCTGGCTTTAAACACACTCATCCGTTTTCTTTTAGTGTTAAAACTGTTCTACCCTTTGAGGACTCGGGCCTCTCTTCGGTTTGAAATTTTACTCCACGTGTCTCCGTAGATGTCTCCAAAACACGGAGCCTCTTACATTGTTTGCCCATAGACGTATCGGGGGTAGCAAATACTTTCTTACATGGCTTCCTTTGACTAATTTTACATTAAAATGGTTTTTTTTAATATTGTGGAATGTGTGTATTAATTGTTCCCTCCAGGATAAGAGATGGCTTCTTTTCATTGCCACTACATTTACTAAACATGGACATAATCATTGATACAGGTTATAGATTGGATGCTTTTGAAATGTGTATGTATGATAGTTTTATTAATTTCATGGAAACAAGTTAATAGTCTAACGCTGTGTTTAGTCTGGTGGTTTTTCAGGTATGACTGGGAAGTAGGATGCATTTGACACAGAGGAGAATTTGGGTTGAAGGAAATCTTGAGAATGAAATTGTTTGAACTAGGATGTAATTATATCTCTAACCCTCGTTAATAAATAGCTGATTTGTTTCTAAGTCATCATGTTTTGTCCAACCAACGATTTGCACTGATTTATATAAGTATGCATTTATTCAACAGTGACATCCAGTGGTACAAAGAAAATGTAAAGCCCTAAATATGTCTTTTACAATTTTAAAATGACTTTTTGGATGATATATAAAATTATGGACCGAGGAAAGTATTTCTTTCATTTGCATTAAAAATCCTACATGTCTTTTCTGTCTTCATTTCTACCAGTGCCTCTCATTGAACAATTACTTAAATCAGTAACTGACAGGCTTGTGATGGGAATAGGGAAGATGACAAAGATGCTGGCGACAAAGCCTTTGTGTGCAAGCAACATCTGTAGCACCATCTATAGCACAGCCTTATGAGCAAGTGTCACCTGTAGCACACCCTCTCTGCCCAGGGACCAGACTGAGCCATCCAAATAAGGTCGTGACTCGTCAGCCCTGAGCAGCTCAAGAACTTTGGGTGGCCATCTCCTTTATCCTGGTCAGGCAACCGAGGCAGGCAACTTCCCCAAGGACACACAGCCAGGACGAGGTGGAGGGGAAACAAGGACACATCTGAGCCCCAAATTCACAGGGACCTGAAAGTTGTTGTTGTTGTTTCCCTGGATTTGGATATTCCCTTGATGCTCTAGGTCAAGGGCAGAGCTTGAAGAAAATCTACAAAGGCTTAGCCTGGGAAGATTTCAGTAGAAGAATCTATGTCATTGTGTAGGTACAAGAGCTAGAACAGGATTTAGCCAATGGAAGAGGTTCAGTAAGTGTCACTTAAACTACCACAAGGTTCGTTTCAAGAGACGTGAGCTCCTCTGACCATGTATGCGTTGTGTCCTCGTATGGACAACCTCAGGTTCTACTCGCCCACTCCTGTGAGACGGTCTTTATAGTGTGATGCTTTCTTCGATATATCTATTTCTTTGCGTGCTTGGTTGTAGCCAACGTCATTTATTGACGAGAAAAGCACAGAGACTTTGGGCCTCCCTCTACTCTGTGAGCTTGGGCAAGGTGCTTATCCACTTTGTGCGCAGCGACCTTAGCTGTCGAAAGGGCTTGATAACTGTCTTCCTCATAGAGTGTATACGTATAAAGAACTGAGGACGGCATCGGATACTGTTGTGTACAATAAGTACACAAAAATTGTCCATATTTACTGTTGATTGTTTTTTCCACCATCACCACCATGAGAACTTGTGTTAGTCCGAGTAGACTAGAGAAACAAATCCATGGACACACATATGTGTATAAGAAAGAGATTTATATACAAGAGCAATTGAACATTGAGCGAACATCCCAGCCCAGTCTAGATCCAGTTCGTAAGTCCGATATTAGCCCATATATCTGATACCAATCTACAAAGTCCCCTTCAGACTCACAAAACATATGCAATGATGCCAGATGTAGAAGATCACAGGCCAGGGGGTAGAAAGTCCTTGGATCCAGTGTCATTGGAAACATCTCAGCGCTGGCAGGGGTGTCTGCATCAGGGTGGGACCATGTGTCGTTGTCAGCTGCCATGTCTCCCAGGGTGTGAACAGAGAGTCTCCCACCTCCAAGGAGGAAATACCAGATTTCCCAGAATTCTCCGGAGAAGGCCATGGCCACGCAGAAGCCTCATTGGCTATGATCCGATAGATAGAACAGACTCCACCCATTCACTCATAGTCCTGTCAAATTGACAATTTTATAACTACCACAGACCTCATGAGAGCTAGTGACCACTGCAGTTCCCAACTCCTTCGTCAAACTTGTAGGACTTGTAGTTTCTTCCCAGGGTGGATACACCTAACAACAGATAATCATTTAAAAATCACCCAGCAGACAAAGTCATCACACTCAGATGTCAAAAGGGTTAAGTGCTGCGTATTATATAACTCAAAAGCCCCAGCTGCAATAATTCAGTGCCTTTACTTCCAGGCTGACTTGGAAAGTTACATCACAGAGACACGCCTGTGTCCCAGTTGCACAGGGACGACTAATGGTGACCTCATACGGTGTTTGTGAACCTTAAAAAGACATTAGAGTGACCAGGTGCATGCTCGGCAGTTTATCACTTGTGGTCAGTATTCTTTCAGATGCAGATTATACATGTCTGTATGTACTTATATCTATCATTGCCTTCCAGTTCTTTGAAAAAGTTGAGGAATCGGGACTGGAATCTGAAGGAATTTTTCGACTTTCTGGATGTACCGCCAAAGTCAAGGTACTGAATATTTTCTCTCTTCCTGGAGTTTAGTGCTACCTTGGCACAGTTTGTAGGAACATTGTGTGAGCATAGTTGATTCTTTTATTTGATGCTCTGTCGTGACCTTACTTAGTTCTTCCTCCCTACCCCATGATCAAACATCTATCCAGGACCACAGGTCGCATATCCTTTTAGTGATATGAAATTTAAAAAGCAGTAACACTCCAACAAAACAAAACAACATATCAACTCAACATCACAGGTACTTCATTCTTAGTTTGTTCTTAGTTTGGAAAATTTGAAATGTCTGTCCCTTCACGGTTTTGTGCGCTCAGCATTTTAGTTTGACATTTTTCTGTACGTCAACGTAATTCGCCAAGCCACTGTTTCCATTATCAATAACTTTAAACTTAGAAAGATTCTTTGGCTCATTTTTTTAATGACAATCCTTAAAGGAATTTGTAGCAGTGGTCATAACCACTAGACTACTTAGTCATCAATTCTAACAACCCCGTTCCATTAAGGTAATGTTCGCTTCCACACAGAAAACCCCCAGTGCAATGCAAATCATTTTTCGTTGCTTGCTTGCTTCTAGAGGGTAGTAGACCCTGGAGTACATAAGAATCAGAGAAGAAAAGCTTTTCACATAAGTTTTTTTATCAAAATATCATAAGGAGTCTACCAACAGGCCTACAAAACACCTATCGTGCCTCACCCTCAGATCGCTGTTGCCACACAAGCCCAAGAAGTTTAGATGGTGAATCTCTGAGGAGTCTCAGTGAGGAAGAACTAATCCAGTTGAGTTTAGAACTATTAAAAGGGATGTGTAGAGGCGGAAAAGCATTTGTTCATTAATTTGTTTGGTACATGTTTTGGGAAATTCTATTTGTATCAGAAGTCTCAGAGTTTTATATAGAAATGTGATGAGCTGTTTTTCCAAGTGTTAACTGAGGTGAAATAGGCTGTGTCGATTGAGTCTTTGAAAAGCAGATGCTCAGAGGGAATGAGGCATGGACAGAAGGGTGGGTCCTCAGGGAGCAGGCATGTGAAAGAGCAGATGAGGAGGAAGCAAGACTGCAGGAAGCAGCGTTGAACATGGTTTGCATCCAGAAACTCCCCTCCAGGAGCTCTGCACTGGCAGAGAGGGCCAGTCCTACCTGCAGCCTCCACCCCCCCACCCTTGCTCCAACCCACCTCATTGTCTGCCCTTCCGCTGGCAACCAGGGCTCCCGTTCAAACGCTGAGGCAGATCCAGAAGGCACTAACAGCTAACAGGGGCAACTTTTTGCAGCTGAATGGCAATTAAAGGAAAACATGAGGATTTCACCAGAGCTTTCCCAGTGGCTGCAGGGATGGGAAAGGCTGATGGGTTTTGATATCCTGAGAGTGGAGGTTTCTAAGTGCTAGTGCCAAGAAATTACCATGGTTAATATAAATCCACTGTTAGTCTGAGTTTCTCCTAGATACGGTTCTTAAACATACATCTGAACCAATCAGGGAGCTATACCTGTCTGTATTCTCATTGTGTGTGTGTGTGTGTGTCTGTGTGCGTGCGCGTGTGCACACGCACATAAAGCAGTTTTTTAAATGAAAGAACCTCACAGCCATTGAGTTCGTGTGGGCGCGGTCGCGCAGTGACCCCTGTGGGTTTGGGATCCTGTGGCTGTCAGGGGAGCAGGGAGCCCCTTCTTTGTCCGGTGGAGTGGCTGGTGGTTTTGAACTGTTGAATTTGTGGATTGCGTCTGATTGCATAAGTAAAGCATAACAGATATTTAAAATTCTAGTTTTATAAATAATCCAAAGAGAAATAGAAAATAGTACAGGATAGTTTTTCTCACTGACAAATCATTGAAATATGTTTATCAAAGTGTCAGGTGCTGGTCTTATGTGCACACGCCTTCATTAAGGACACGCCTTCATTAAGGACACGCCTTCATTAAGGACACGCCTTCATTAAGCACACGCATCCATTAAGGACATTTAGGTGAAAGTCTCTTCTTTCCCTCCTTATCAGTGAACGTCTTTGCAGCATAGCTATTCCATCAGTTGTTTGTCAGGAAAAAAATGTCCTCCAGTCCAGATGTTTCCATTGTTTGGACTCCAGGAAAGCCAATGTGAAGGAAATCTGGGACAGGGAACCAAACAGGAAAATGGTGCAATTAGAAAGGAATTGTAACATGATATACTAAATAGGCCTTTATTTCTCCGTTCAAATTTACACTACGTTTTTGTGGTGGGGAGGGGAATTTCATCTGGCAAAAAAAAAATTTTTTCTGGTAATTGCCTAGGGATTTTAAAAGTTTTATTATTTTTATACCCAAAGTTTGCCAGGTCAGCGGCACTGACCCTGTCGCTCCCCGGGCATACCAGCATGAACCATAAGGTCTGAGTTTGGACTTCTCAGGCTTGCTAATAGCAGCAGGGAAGCCACACTGAGAACAGCCGTCAGATGTAGCCAAGCAGGAAGCACAACTGCAGGACCAATTCCTATGTGTGAGACCTTAGAGCATTTGGAACCAATTCGATACTTTCTTGTTTCCCATGATTTCTTCTTTAAAAATGGCAGAAATGTACAACTTTCCTCTAGTTCTTAAATGCTTCCCCCCCACACACTATCATGATCCCAATTCTACCTTACAAATCCAGCTGGACAGAAGGATGTACACTGGTACAGATAGGAATTAGAAACCCAGGGAATCCAGGACAGATGAACCCTTCAGGACCAGTGGTGAGAGTGGTGGTACCAGAGGGTAGAAAGGGGGAACCGATTACAAGGATCTACATATAACCTTCTCTCTGGAGGTCGGTCAACAGAAAAGTGGGTGAAGGGAGCGTTGGACAGTGTAAGATATGACAAAATGATAATGACTTGTAAATTATCAAGGGTTCATGAGGGAAGGGGGAACAGGGAGGGAGGGGAAAAAATGAGGAGCTGATGCCAGGGGCTAGAGTGGAAAGAAGATGTTTTGAGAATGATGATGGCAACAAATGTGCAAATGTGCTTGATACAATGGATGGATGGATGGATTGTGATAAGCGTTGTATGAGCTCCCAATAAAATGATTAAGACAAACAAAATGCCAGAAATGTGCATCCAGCACTAGGGAATATATATTAGGAGAGAAGGTAGACTCTTTGACATGCAAGGCTTTCTCCTCTGACTAGTTTCAATGATTCTAAATCTGGGTTAAAGGATTTACAAATAAACTACCAAATTTGTTGGTTTCTATTCCTGAACTGGTTTTCTAAGCTAAAGGTGAATAATTTGCATTGTTTTAGAACTCTACCTCAGAAATTGAAGCAAGTTGCATTTCTGTTTAGAAAATCTAAGTACAGATATATAAGCACGTGACTCTGACCCTTGACTAGTGTTTTCATCAACATTAGCTAGACAACGTGATTTCTTTATCCTCTAGACTCTCTCTGTGTTAAATTCAGCACTGTTTTCATGTTTAGTACCACCGATGAAATATCAATGCTGGTCAAAACAAAGAAAGTGCATTCTTTCTGATCCATTTGTTTTCTGCTGGCCAACCAGACAAGCTGAAATGGTGTTATTCCCCATATATCTACCCTCAGTCAGAGGGTTCTCCTGCTCAGTAGTGGTAAAGGCCAAACCAAAGTAGAAAGCGAAGGGGCATCATGTATTGAGCGTTTTACATACAACATCTGATTGAAGCTCCGTGAGGAACCTTTGCTCTCCCTGTGCGACCACTGAGGCGTCTGAGCACCAGCCATAGCTGGGCAGCCGTGGAACTGAGGCAGCAGCTCCGAGAGCCTGGGGGCCCTGCCTCTCTTCGTAGACCTGGCAGGTCTGAAGGATGGCCAGTCCTGTTTCAGATCCAAGACTGGCCGAGGCTTGTGGAAAATTATTGGAGTTGTTCTGCTCTCACGGGTGCTTCCTGTCCACTTGAAAAACAATCCCCTTGACTGCAGTAGGCCCAGCAGTGAGTGGAAAATTTATTTCTCGCTAATGCCGTATTCCAAGCGAGCAACACCCACATCTGTCTGTTATCCCAGCTACAAACTTCAAATCACCTTGGACTCCTATTTTTCCTCCTAAATCTTTGATGTAATCCACCACTGATCTTGAGAATTTTACCCCCATGGTATTTCGGAAAAGCGTCACCCCCTTTCCATCCTACAAGGGCTTTCGCAGATTGTCTTTGCACTATCTCTCGCCAGAAGTGATAGCCCATAACTGGTTTCCTTCCTCCCAACCCGCTCGTCGACTCTCGTCAAGCTCCACATGCTCCAAATAATTCTCCCATCTACTGTCAGCAAAGGCTGCCCTAACACGCTCATTCCTTGGGGTGGGCGCTTTTCATGGAGCCCGGTGCCTGCAGAGTGAAATCTGTTTCCTGCGATATCCTCCTCTCTTTCCCCCTCCTCCTGCTGATGCTGCTCGGCAGCACCGAGCTCGCCGGAGTCCCGGGGCACACTGGATTTCCTTGCATTTACACAACTCTAGTCTCTTCGTCATGGAAGCATACATAAGCTCTGGTTAGCATGCAATCACCTCAATTGGAACACCACTTTTGCAGGTTCTGGGCGCCATGAGTATGCCCATGTCTGAGCTGACCCCCTATAGGAAAAGATCACATTTTAAAATCCGTCTGTCCATGCATGTTCAAGGATGGAAGAATTAGGCTTCTCATGAGAATATGAGGGGCCTTAAAGAAACCAAGTATTTTCAGAATTATCTTTCTAAGTACTTTTTTTTGGAGGGGGTAGGTTGGTGTCAATTGATGGACACTAGTCCTCCCATCGGGGGAGGGACGGGTTAGTGTCCATTGATGGACACTAGCCCTCACGTGGGGGGTTGCCAACCGCAAGGTCAGCGGTTTGAACCTAGCAGATATTCCTCTGGAGGAAGTAAGGGTTTCTGCCCCATCGAGATGTACAGCCAGCCCCAGTAACACAAAGGGGCAGTTCAACACTTTCCTATAAGGCAGTGGTTCTCAGCCTTCCTCATGCCCCGACCCTTTAATACAGTTCCTCATGTGGTGGTGACCCACAGGTTGAGAACCACTGTCTTAGAGATTCTTACTTGCATTGCACTTAAAAACTATGATTTCATTCCTAATAATAATGTTAGGAAATGTTGGACATAATGAAGATTAGTGTTTCCAGAATTTAATCTACTTACAAAATTCATTTATGAAATGACAATTTTCAAAGGGGGAAAAGATGTCAGATAAACTCATCGCATATTGACTGTTTCCTTTGATTTGCAGCAGTACCGTGAAGACCTGGATACCAAGTTTAATGCTGATAAATTTAAATGGGATAAAATGTGCCACAGAGAAGCTGCAGTGATGTTGAAAGCATTTTTCAGAGAACTACCCACCTCTCTCTTCCCTGTGGAGTATATACCTGCCTTCATCACTCTAATGGAAAGTACGTGGAAGAAGTTAAGTGTGAATGGACCAGATAGAATGGCAATACAATTATCCAGAGCAGCATTAAGATACATATTCAAATGTGCTCCTAATGGTATAGATTTGTGATTTCCTGGCAATATCTGGTGAAATACTGAGTTTGGTGATTTTTAAAAAGTCAGCTCTTACTGTATTATATGTGTAAATCTTGTTATTATGATTTAGAAGGTTTTATAATCATTAAGAGGAAGTAGGAGTTTGCAAAAACACAAGGCAGGCGCTTGAAATTTGATTTCCTGTTCTACCATCTAGTAGGCATGCAATCAGCCTTTCAGAGCTTCGACTCCTGCACCTGGAAATCATAAGAATTACTGACTTTTCGGGGTTGTTGTGGATATTCACTATAGAGAATCACACCTGACTCCTCAAAAACTATGGGTTCCCTTTGTGTTGTAACTCAGTATAATGGCGTAGCCCCAAATCAGTGCTACAGAGAAGACATTTTATCTTTGGAAATTATATCACATGATGATTCTGAAATTTTATAACATCATCTGGAGGTACCTGGATAAAAACAAAGAACATGGACAATGAACGCCGTGTTTCACAGTGGAAATTTTGGTATGATTTGAGTACTAGAGATGAACATTGTGGAAGGCGAGGCAAGGGGAGATTGAGGAAAAGTAGACTGGTCCTAGACACTGGGCCTTTGACCACTGACCTGAGTTGTCCCGGACTCACACTAAACGTGTGCGTGCTCGGAAGAGTTGAGGGATTCCACCGGGACAGAAGAGGCTAGGAAACGACTTAGAAACTTTTCTTGTCTTTGCCTTTTCTTGTTGTTTTTAAACAAGTTGGCCACTACTCAACTCCAGATAACGGTTTTCATGCAGAACTGAGAGCCAAACTCCAGGCTTTACTGAGAAAACTGGAATTTTAAATATCTGCCACATTTTCAAATCACTATGTGAGCCTAATACATATCTGTCAGTGTGTGTCTTCTGCATGTTGATCAGAACTATAAAATCATTTAAAACCACCAACAAGGAAAGGCATAGTTCAATCCAAAGTTGTATAACAAAACTCATCAACTTGATGGCAGTGAGCCTGGTTTTTTATGGTTTTGGAAAGCTATAACATTTGTAACTAAAAAAAAAATTTTTTTAACTAAACCAGACCCAGAAAATAACCCTTCATATCTTCAAAGAAGAGAATAGAATAGGAAAGGCAGGCCTTTTCTGAGCTTTAATTCACATATGACTTAGCATTCCCTTTGCTTTATAATGGCTTATGGTTTTTGTTTTATGAGAGAAGTAGTAAAAGAGAATGAGAGGAGCTAATTTTCCTCATTGGTTTTATTTCAGATATTCTAATTTTACATACTAGAATTATTTGATGGATATCCCATCTTTACATGCACTATAAGCATATCTTCCTTTGCATTATTGATTATAGTGATAAAAGGTACTTTGAGAGAGGTACCTTCTAGTTCCAGCATTAGGTCATCTCTAAGCCATTCTCTCTCGACTGCCTTTTCCCTCCAGAATGGTTCACGTTTTAAGGTTACTTTGTATGTCATATCGCTGGTCTGTGTCCTAGACATTGTAAATACTGTGTTTTAAAGACCCTATAGCCTGTCATTTTTCTTAAAAAGATATATTGTGGTTTTTTTAAAGATTTTTTTTCTAAGTGATTTGTAATGTTATGCCTTCTCATATTCTTCACTTTTAAATTGTGATTTGGGTGAAAGTTTACAGTGAAATTGCTTTTCCACTTAACAATTCATACAGACTTTGTTTTATGACATTCATTGAAACTCCCAAATCATAACAACACTCTTACTACTTCCTCCCTATGTTTATTGTTTCCATTTGTCCTTTTTTCCTCTCCCTCCCTGCCTTCTGAGTCTTATCCCCGGCACACGCCGCCCTTTTCATCGCCCATGATTGAGTGCTCTAATAAATGCGTGCCTCTGTGGTGCTATTGTGTGCCTGACAGGCCTGTATGTCATTTGCCTAAAAGTTGAGCCACACCAGTGAGTTTGGCTGCTCGTGTTGGAGAAATGAACCACTGAAAACCATATAGTTAGCATCAAAATATGGTCAGACACTGACCACCACCTAAACAGAGGCAGGACGTTGTCAGAGACGGTGCCCAAAGAGGAACCTCTCAAAGAGAGCCAGGCAGAATGATGTGGGTGGGGTCAAACCTTTGGGACCTTCATCTGCTCCTGGGGCACAACTGAAAAGTAGATGAACCAGCTGAAAACATCTGTGTATAGGTAGACCTTGGACTTTATGAATTATGAAGCCAGGAAAATCAGACGTCATCTTAAAAATGAAATGGAATGTCTAAAGACGCGAGTCAGTTCCGAGCCACAGCACCCTATAGGGCAGGGTAGAACTGCGTCTGCAGGTTTCCAAGACTAACTATGAGAGAGAAAGCCTGGTCTTTCTCCTGCAGGGAAGCTGGTGGTTCCACCTGCTGACCTTTGGTTCATAGCTCAGGGCTTCATATGCTATGTGACACTAAGCTGAAATCGACAGGAATTGGGTATTTTGGAATTTTGAATAAGAAAAAAAGGTTCACTATGATGGAAATGACAGATTCAAGAGGAATTGCATTACATTTATCAGCAAAATGGACATTTGAAGATCTTTCTTGAAGTACAGTGCTTTCTGTGATAGAATAATATATATCGCTATTCATACAAAGAAATCCAGACAATAAAACTATTCAAATTTATGCACCAACCTTAAAGGTCTAACTCACAAAAAAAATTGCTGTTATCAAGTCAATGTGACCTATGGGACAGGCTAGAACTGACCCTGTGAGCTTCCAAGATTGTAACTCTTTATGAGAATAGAAAGCCTGTCTTTCTCTGGAAGAGCAGCTGGTGGTTTTGAACTGTGAACCTTCCAAGTAGCCCATCAAAGCTGGTGACGTAGAAATTAAAGAATTCTTCCAATATCTTCACTCTAACATGATGAAGCATGCTATCAAGATGCATCAATAATCACTGGTGATTGGAATGCACAGGCTGGAAACAAAGAGGAAGGATGAGTAGTTGGAAAACAAGCCCCGGGTGATAGCATGGAAGCTGGAGATCACATGATAGAGTTCTGCATGACCAATGGCTTATTCATTGCAAATACCTTCTTTAAAAACACAATACACCCAGACTTTTCCAGATGCAATGCATAGAAATCAAATTAGCTATATCTGTGGAAAGAAACAACAAAACTACCCAATATCAGCAATTAAAACCAGGGCACGGGCCAACTGTGGAACAGACGATTAATTGTTCTGTGTACGTTCATTTGGAAACTGAAGAAAATTAAAACAAATCCAAGAGAGCCAAAACAGACCTTGAATGTATTTTGCCTGAGTTTCGGGGCATCACAGGAATAGATTTGGGGTGTGGGATCCTTTAGCAGAAGATCTGATGAACTGTGGGAGGCCTCAAGAAATCATACATGAAGAAGCGGAAACATCATTAAACAAAGACAGGAAAGAACGAAAAGATCAGCATGGATATCAGAAGAGACTCTGAAACTTGCTCTTAATCAGAGAGCAGCCAAGGCAAATGGAAGAAATGATGAAGTCAAAGAGCCAAGCAGAACATTTCGAAGAGCAACTCAAGAACACAAAGTAAAATGTTATGATGAAATGTACAAAGGCCTAGTTAGAAAAATCAAGTTGCCATACTGAAAGGTTCTATGGGCAAAACATTGAGGGAGGCAGAAAGCGTCAAAAGAAAATGCATTCCACCATTTCTAGAGGTAGCATATGATCAGGAAACAGTCATACTGAAAGGAAAAGGCCAAGCTGCACTGAAAGCATTAGCCAAAACCAAGGCTCTAGGAATTGACAGAAACCTAGTAAAAGCTTTCAACGAGCTCATGAAGCACTAGCAGCACTCACTGGGCTATGCCAAGAAATTTGGAAGACTGCTCCTTGGCCAACAGACAGAGATCTATATCTGTACCCACTCCAAACAAAGGTAACCCAACAGAATGCACAAATTATAGAGCAATATTAATATCACATGCAAGTAAAACGTTGCTGAAGATCATCCCACAAAGGTTGCAGCAGTGCATTGAGCGGGAACTGCCAGAGGTTCAGGCTGGATTCAGAAAAGGAAATGGAAAAAGAGATATCAGTCATTTTTGATGTCGGATGGTCTTGACTGAAAGTAGAAAATACAAGAAGGATGATTGCATGAATTTTATTGACCATGCAAAGGTATCATCTGTATGCTGAGCAACTAATCAGGGAAGCTGGCTTCTACAAAGAAGAATGAAGCATCAAATTTGGATACAGGCTTATTAATAACCTGTGACGTGCAGGTGAGACGATCTTGCTTGCTGAAAATAAGAACTTGAAGCACTTGCTGATCAAGATTAAGGAACTTGGCATAAAGAGAACCCAAATCCTCACAACTGAGCAACGTGAGAGAGAAAAGATTGAAGTTGTCAAGTTCATCTGGCTTGGGTCCACAACCAGTGCTCATGGAAACAGCAGTCAAGAGCTCCAACAATGCATTGCATTGGGTAAACCTGCACAAGACTGTTTAGAATGATGGAAAAGCAGGGGTGTTCCTTTGATGCGCCTGACCCTAGCCATGGTATTTTTAAATCACCTCAAATGCATGTGAAAGTTGGACAGTGAACACGAAGAATCGATGCATTTGCATTGTGGTGCAGGTGAAGACTTGAAGAATGAACAAATCTATCTTGAAAGAAGTACAGCAGTGTGCTCCTTAGAGGCAAGGATGATGAGACGCTGTCTCACATACTTTCAACATGTTTCAGGAGAGACCAGCCCCTGGAAAAGGACACGCTTGGTGAAGTAGAAGGGCGGCAAAAACGGTGAAGACCCGTGACAAGATGCCTCGACACAGCAACTACAGAAATCGGCTCACACATAAGACCAGTTGTGAGGATGGAGCAGGAATGGGCAACGTCTCATTCTGTTGTGCAGAAGGTCGCTATGGGTTAGACCAGACCCGGTGGCACC